ATATTTCCTTTCCTGTTCATTAATACTGAAAAATTTGTATTTTCCGATGTATTTTTGTACGACACGACTTTGTTTATCTGATTGTCTCGCTTTATGAAACATGTAAACCTTTATATTTTTCGCTGTGTAATATAAATAAACTCTGTATCGTCTATGAAGAACAAATTTTGCACTCGCTCGTTCGTTTAATTTGCGAAAACAGATTATAACGCGTGCGTAAATACCACACGTAAGTATTTCCCATGAAAAATCTCTATATACTATCCGGTTATCCGGTTATCCGGTTATCCGGTTATCCGATTATCCGGTTATCCGATTATCCGGTTATCCGGTTATCCGGTTATCCGGTTATCCGGTTATCCGGTTATCCGGTTATCCGGTTATCCGGTTATCCGCTACCCGGGTTTTCTACCATGCCCATAAACATGATATTGAACGAGTAATTTAACGCATCTGATTGGCTACTAAATTCGGGAAGCCAGTTAAGTGCATGTACGTGTATTTGTTACAATTCCGATCAACTCTGCCAGTCTGCCGTTGTGACTGCTGAACCTATTAAAACTCCGCCCGTTTCCTTGCTGAATTTTCGGATAAATCTCATCCAAATAAAACAATTTTTTTGGCGGAATCCGACGATCCGAAAATCTATTCACCCCACTAACTAAACTTACAATTCGGTGTTAGGTTTAAAAATTGACGTGTATTATACTATTATTCTATACATAATTTTATAGGTGAAACTCTAAAAGAAAAGCCGTACAGCTGCATATGACATTCCGGTTAAAAAATTAGAACGCTGACTTTTCGCGTTCTCTTTTCTTTTTTTTTGTCGTAAACAACTCCATATAGGGAAGTTTGTTCCATATATGGAGAAAGACGTGGAAACAGATTTTTAAAAATGCTGATTTTCAAAAAATTACCAAAATCTTTATAGAGATATATAAAATTGCTCACAATTTTAGCACTTTTTGAGCACTATTTTGAGATTTTGAGCACTTTTTGAGCACTTTTTAGCCCTTTTTGCCAGAACTTTTTTGGATTTTACCAGCGCAATCGGGAAAGGCCTAAATAATAGTGCATTTCGATATGCGTACGTACTCGACCAAGTATTTGGGAATCTATGCTCTTTACACGTACTCGACTTCAAAAGTAAACGGCTGTACGATTTGTTAGCTTACTGGACCAAAAGTAAACGCCTGTACGCATTATTGTAACGCATATTGTGTGTACTCTATCTAGTTTATAGTCAAAATATCCATCACATGTATCTAAACTATCAAACTTTATAATTCCATCGAAATACTGGTCTACATGCGGCTGCCGGCAGTATTTTTACCGAATACTACGTGCCCGGCAGTCAGGAAACAGCACACTGGGCCGAAGGATAAACCGAAAATTCACTTCTCTCCATGACAAGCTTTAATGTTCAGTCGATCCCGGCTACATTGAAAGATGAGTACTTGGCTATTTTTGGGCAGGGGTAACGAAATATATCGGCTGTTCTCTACAGTAAGTGTTTCTTTATGTGTTGCCCAATCGGAATATAATATAACTACATAAGCTTTATGGATGTAAGATAACGAGTTTCACAATCCCATTTTAAATGCTATGGCTTTTGGCAGTTTTGCATCATATGTGTTTTTCAGTAAAAGCCCCATTTTCCTACTTCCCCAACGTGTAAATTCGCAAAAACTCTTTATTAATAATAACAAAAATTTGTAATAGTAAACAGTGTATTTTATTATAAAGTATTTTCGTTTTTCTACTGCTCCGTACTTCATGTGCTCCGTGCTCCGTGTGCTCCGTGCTCCGTGTGCTCCGTACTCCGTGTGCTCCGTGCTCCGTGTGCTCCGTGTGCTCCGTGCTCCGTGCTCCGTGTTTTACTAATAGCCGTGTTTAAATCCACAGTAGCCTGCATAGCGGCTTAGAGAAAGGAGAGCCTGCACGAAACCCCCTGCTTTGCCATTTCCGCCCACTTAGCCTGCGGGCTACGCCCACTTTAAACAGATGTCAAAATTGGCCAATCACACAGATTGTTTACGTTTGCAAATTTACTTATCAACATGAAATATAAATATAGATTGCTGTATGTTCGCAAATTTCAAAACGAAATACTGTAATATACGGGATGGCGTCTAAAGAAAATGGAAGTCTGTGGGAATAGCGCTAGGCCTAGGGCAATCTCCATCGTTGTCACAAGTAGTTTGCAGTCCGTATCTACGATATTTCGTAGCTTTCTCGCACACGTACAAATAGAATTTATAGTTTCGCCAGCGGTCAACCGTGATGTATTAAATGTTAAAGTTTCGAGAGATGCTGATAAGAGAATATTAAAGGTGTTTAAAGCCATCACTTCACAGAGAGCAAGTCCTGTTCACAAGACATAAGCATTTATAGCAATTCTCTCCTGGCACAAAATTATTAGCTACAAAATCATGAAGAAAAAATCTATTTGTCGTCGATGAATTCATGAAAACGAACACAGTCGTCAGTTGTGAAAGAGGCGCTGCTAACAGACAGCAATCCAACGAAGACACCACAGTCAATATCTCTAGAGCTTCGTGAACCAAGTTCGTAAATACCTTTATTGTTCAACCGTAAATTGTAGCCTTTAAGCTCTTTTGAATGCAAAACTCAAAGAAACGCCTCTCAATAATTATACATCCGCCGTGTTTGTATGAATTTTAGCATAAATTAGCATATTTTTCATTTTGAACCAATCAGATTTCTCGTCCTCTGAGAGAACGAGTAAATACGGTTTAGCATGGGGTTTCGTGCAGGCTGTCCCTTCTCTGACAGCCGCTACGCAGGCTAAATCCACAGCGAAATACTACCGAAATCAGTAGAGTGTCTTTTCCGGAAGTTGAAAAGACAGTCAGAAGCCAGTAGAAACGTTCTTGTTTTATGACGTCACGGTGAAGGAATGCAGCGTAGAACTTGTATGTTATTTTACTTACTTAGTAAATTTATTTAGTTTGACAAAGTGACAATGGCTCGCCAAACACAAAACAAGCTTTTGAACAAAGGGAGAACTAGGGTGAGGCGGTTTTTCGGTAAACCGAAAAAAACCGATGTTTTTTTAAAACCGAATTACTCGATGACGATGTTTATACTTTTGGAGAAAAACCGAAAAAACCGGGGGAAAACCGAATTTTTTTTAATTTTTTTTTAATTTTTAATGCTATGAGAACTTTTATTAAAAATACACATTAAAATTATAGTTACAATAAAAAAAAATGTTTAAAGTTAAACGATTAGTTGCATCTGTTTATTAGTTTTCCAAACGAGTTCGTATGTTCCTATACAATTACAGTTTAAATTTTGTTCAGCAAGATACACGTCCTTCAACTAGTGCTAGTTCAATCTCCCCACCAAAGGAATTAATTGGATTGTGGTGGGAAGATCTGGATCCACGTAGGCACATTATCGCTGATCGTAACAATGAAAAGCTAAGTCGGCACCTAAGCCAGTTTATTGTCTTGCCATATGGCTTGCCGTGTTTTTCAGCGATCAAGGATGCTATTCTCTTGTAGACCACGTTTGCAGTGGCACCCATACCACCCGCTGTCGAGAAGACCGGCGGAGAAAATGACCCGTGTTCTACTTCTCTAATTCTTTCGTCGTACGCTCTTCTTTTCTCCAGTTCATTCTTACGATAGCACTGAGAGAGGGAGGTGTTTCGATAGCTCGGTGCGAAAGGGTTGAACACCCTGACGTCAAAAAATGCACGTTGCCGATCGCGCCCCCAGAAACTTTCTGCTACAACATCCAGTCGAGCACCATCTTCTCTATTTGCTGATCTGTATGAAAACACTTCATCAGTTACAGGTTGTAGGCCTGGTTCGACACCAACTCCATAGCATACCTCCATCAAAAATTCAGCAGTAATATCTCTTATCTCGTTGTGTCGGATTGAGGGAAAGCCTCCTCGTGAGCAACTTAATGCATGCTCTATTGTAAACTTCTGATCACAGACGCAGCGGGAGGGTAGATGCTGAGGAAGCCATCCATATCTCAGACATAGGGCATCTCGAAAAGCTCCTTTGTGTAGGTTGAACCCATAGTCAGACAACGGAAGCGTGGTAAGCCATGTGGAAGCTCCTTTCTCAGTGGAAACTTCTATCGCTCTCTGTAGATTTGGAGGTAATCTTTCTGCAATCAGGTTTGCTTCTGCTTTCTCATGTTGTCTTCGTAGGTTGCGGGTATGATTTTTCTCATTGATTTGAGCTTTTTTAATCTCAGGAGGACTTACTCTCGATTGATCTATAATGATATTGACGATTGGGGCTGTAATCGATTTAGAATTTTCATAGAAAGTTGAGCTTTTTTGGGAAGGATCAGTGATGCCCAGGCCTCCAAGGCGAGCTGGTAGTCCCATCAGATTGCGAAGGTTGTCATCGAATACATTTTGCCCTGTGATAGCTGGTAGGAACTTGCATCTTAAAACTTCTTCAAGTGGTGCGAGAAAAATGTCAATATTCGGGGTTGTCCGAGCTAAATATGTCCATTTGCTCTTAAAACCATGCGTGAATGCGGCATAAGCGGCTTGTGGTTGTGACATAGCAATGTCAGAAAGACGTTCAAGCTCTTCCTTCCATGTTGACACTTTCTCTCCAACGTAATTCTCTACAAAAGAACGTGTTCCAATTGCTGAACCCAAATGCCTCTTTCCCTCCTGAGAAATCTTCACTCCTGTGTCTTGAAAAAGCTTTCTTTCACAACAAGCCACGTCTTGTCAGCATTGGAGAAATAGCCGTATTTTGGTCCTATCTTTGAGATGTTGTTCCACCAGTCTTTGATACCGCTAAGTTTCCCAGCAGCAGAGGCATCATCGGCAAACCACACTTGCTTTATCCTCTCTTCAGAAAGACGATGGATCAGAGGTGTAATAGCAACAGCGTACATTGCCATTGCAAGGGGATCTCCTTGTGTAGTGCCCTCTTGCGAATAAATTACTTCTCCGTCTATAAACAAAGGAATGTGTTCTCTGTAGGTATTTGTTAACACCTTCGATAGTGCTGGGCAAAGATGCTTGATATTAATAAGGCAGTTTGACGGTTTAAGCAGTTAAAAGCATTGGTAGCATCAACAAGAATAACACCATCCGCATCCTTATCTTCAAACACTTGATGCATAGCAGTGCAGATTCTTCTAGCAACTGCGGCTAAAGCATCACATAGACCAACTGAACATGATTTAAAAGATGTACAGAGTCGTCGCCAGGCCATTGCATCAAGACCAGATGGCCCTGCGGCTCCTTCTGTTTTAATGGCCGTATTCTGTATCAACTCTCCATCAATCCTATCAAAAATAACTGGGTGTGGTTCCATGTTGCAATCCCCATTTAGTATCGCCGATTGAACAGGTGGTATATTAGGTGGATGCTTCTCTAAAAGGACTTGTCTGACGGTCTTGGGATTGTCAGGGGCAACACAGCTATCTAACGTCAGACATCCTCTATCGTCTTTCGATATTATCCGAAGTGCTGCTCTCACTTTACCCTGCATCATCAACTTTGCGAAAACTCGCGCAGTATCATCAGATGACCGCTGCTTAGATTGTCTGACTTTGCGTTTTTGGATAGCACGACCCTCATCTAGCAGACCATTGATATCCCCATTCATCCATTGCTTAAGTCTACGATTTAGATACAAAGTATGCTTTTATGCCTTAGATTTGGGATGTGGTTTCTGGAGTAAAAGAGCAGGTATAACCATTGTGGCTGTTAAAGCCACACTCTCAAGTGACGATATATCAGCATAAGCTTGAAACATTCGAGTAAGCTCGCGCACAAAGGATTTACCAGCCTGGCCAGATGGAGTTTGAAACAAATTTCGTCTCCAATGAACCACCCCCCTATAGCTTTCTTGGATAGCTTGAGCAAATGCTTCGCCTTCGACTTCACCCCATCGAAACACTGGAGATTGCATTGGGATATAATAGATAGATAGATAGATAGATAGATAGATAGATAGATAGATAGATAGATAGATAGATAGATAGATAGATAGATAGATACTTTATTGCGTGTTCCCCTAAGGGCTTTTCAACACTACATTACATCTTAAAATTACTATAAATTACTTCTAAAACTACCTATGTTACATATACTTATTTAAAATTAGTTAAAATATGTACAAAGAGTATGAAATATTAAATGTATTTAATAGGATTCTTTTAGTAAAATCTCCCTAAGTTTTTTCTTAAAAATTGTTATTGATGTAATATTTTTTAGTTTATCATCCAAGTCATTTATCCCTTTCCAATAATAACTTTTCCACTGGCAACCAATTTAGTTCGCGCAACGCCGGAGTTATGTGATCGAACTTTCCTACCCCTGATATAACTCTGCACGCGAAGTTCTGCACTGATTGAAGTTTATTGATATTGTTAGATGACGTGTTGGACCACACCGTAGAGCAGTACAGAAGCTTGTTAATTACAAGTATCTCAATGACCAATTTTAATGTTTCATTATCGAAACTATCCTTCACGCGATTTATTTGACATAGTTTTCTCATACACGACGAAACGAGTTTAGATATGTGGACGTCGTAGGATAGGTACGAATCCAAATTGATTCCCAAATCTTTAGCTAATAAAACAGGTCTTATAGTCTTTCCTAAAAATGTTAGCGATATTTCTGTAGGTACGTTCTGCAGCATGGGTCTTGAACCGACTACAAGGAATTTAGTTTTTTCTGGATTGATCAGTAATTGGTGCTCCAAACACCACTTGGCTGCTATTTGTAGATCTGCCTCTAAATTGATAGTTGTCTGTTCCAAGTCGTAGATGCGGAATGATTTGTAAAGCTTTGAGTCGTCTACGTATGAATCAAGGTTACACGATTGTATGCTCCCTGGCAGATCATTAATATAGATGCAAAACAGAAGTGGTGATAGTATTGCACCTTGTGGAACGCCATGGGTTATCGGGCGAGCTGATGACTTGGTGGATCCAATGCGCACGTATTGGGATCTGCCTGTTAAATAGTCTTGGAACCATTTAACAGCTTCGGGTGAAGCATCGATACAACTCAATTTGTGTAATAAAATCGAATGACTGACACTGTCAAATGCCTTGGATAAATCCAATAAAATTAGTGCCGTTAGATTTTTGTTGTCTATGGCTTCCAACATCGTATCGGTAACAAATATGTTTAAGGTTTCGGTGGAGTGAAGACTCCTATTCCCGCTTTGATGTGACGATATGCGATTAAATTCTTTGAGGTAGGAGCTAAATTGATTTAGAACAACTTTTTCACAAACTTTTGAAACTACCTCGAGTAGTGAGAGAGGCCGATTGTTTGAGGCTATCTCGTGGTCTCCTTCTTTTAGTAGGGGTATAACTTCAGAAATCTTCCATAGGTCAGGGAATGTGCTTGTCATTAGAGAGCAATTTATCATATGCGTAAGAGGACCCAGTATGATTGGAAGACAGTCTTTGATGACACGCATGCCTATTTTATCTGGTCCTGGTGACTTATTACTTGGCATAGCCATGATAATGCGTTGAACCTCTGTACAAGTAACGGATTGGAAATTGAACAGTTGATCAGATGGATAAGTGATTACATTTGACAGAGGATTTGACAGTGCAACATTGTTGTCTTTGGCTAAACTTTCGGCTGTCGCAGCAGCGTTCCGTCCCACAGAAGTAAAAAAAAGGTTGAAATCTTCTGCAACTGTTTTTGGATCTTTACTATAAACTTGTGTTTCCTTTTCCTTCGAGGGAATTATATTATTAATTATTTTCCATAGGGATCTCGAATTGTGTTTATGTTCTCTTACTTCGTTGAAGGTGTGGTCCTTCGCTGCGGTTTTAATTTTGGTTTTTACGTTATTACGATATTCTTTGTAAACTACCCAATCACCTTCATCGCGTGTCAGTTGAAACCGACGGAGGTGTAGGTCCCGAGACTTCATGAGTTCTTTTATTTCATTGGTGACATATGGACATGATCGATTTCGAATTTTTCTGTGCACAATTTTTTTTTCATCCCCCAATTGCTTGCAAGAATTTTTTTTCTGCAACATTCCTTAGGTATGGCAAGCTAAACTAGACAAAAGTGTATCGAGAAATGTAAGCGATAGTTGAGAACTGTATACAATAGATGAGAAGTGTATACTATGCTCAAGATTGGTGTAAACGATAGTTGAGAAATGTAAACTATAGTCGAGAATAGTGTAAGCAATAGTCGAGTAGTGTATACAATAGACGAGAAAAACGGCGAAACGGCAAAGACTGCAGCCCATAAAGAAGAACTTTTCAATACGTACTTCTCCTCTGTGTTTACATCTCCTCGATCAAGTACCAACCTAGAGGCTGTCACCCGTTCACCTCCATTAAGAACTGAACTGCAACTTTCGGACATAGTAATCAGTGTAGACAAAGTTACCGATTGTTTGAAAAGTTTGGATACCATCCCGGCTTCTAAAGGAATGCGCCGGACAAATAGCGCCAAGTCTGTGCGATATCTTCAACCACTCACTGCAATCTGGTCGACTCCCTTCAGAGTGGAAATCGGCAAACGTTACTCCGATACACAAGAAACAACAAAAAGAACTCGCAGAAAATTACCGACCTATTTCCCTGCTCCCCATAGTGAGCAAAGTTTTAGAACGGTGCGTCTACACTAACTTTTATTATCATATTTTACATCTCATCACTCCATATCAACACGGATTTCTAAGAAATCGCTCCTGCGTAACACAACTTCTATCAGTCCTCCACACCATTGGAAAAAGTTTGGCTAAGAACACACAGACTGACATCGTTTACCTTGACTTCGCGAAAGCGTTTGATTCTGTTGACCATTCTATTCTTCTTCAAAAACTCAAATGTTATGGAGTGACTGGAAACCTTCTAGGTTGGTTTACTGATTACCTTAACAATCGTCGTCAGAGAGTCGTTGTGGACGGTTTCGCGTCACGTTGGGCCCCCGTTACATCTGGAGTGCCGCAAGGGAGTATCCTGGGACCTGTGCTCTTTGTAATATTTATCAACGATATTCCTGAAGTGACCGTTGGAACATCTCCAGCACTGTTTGCAGACGACACTAAGGTTTACAAGGACGTAAGATCGGTAACGGACTGTGAAAAGCTTCAGCAGACCTTAGATAAGTTAGATACTTGGACTCAAGACAACAACATAACATTTAACGCTTCTAAATGTAAGGTACTGTCGGTGACACGTAAGAAAAATCCAATTACCTATCCCCATACCACCTCGGTCGAAAATATTTGCCGAGAGTTGAAAACGAGAAAGATCTTGGAGTAACCATCTCCTACAAACTTCACTGGGAGACTCACGTTAACGAGATTATGTCGAAAGCCAATAAACAACTTGGTGTGCTAAAACGAACATGCTTATCATAAACAAACGTCAACATCAGACGTTCATTGTACCTGACACTAGTTAAATCACAACTCTCCTATGCAACACAAGTTTGGTCTTCAAATCATCACAGTCAACTCAACAGAAGAATTGAAAGAGTTCAAAGGAGAGCGACAAAATGGATGTTAAGAATAAAGACTGGTGAAATACCTTACGAACAACGGTAAATCGAGACCTCGGGAAAATATTTTTTCAGTACGGGCCTCGCAGCCGGTAAATAACATATATATATCAATACGAAAAAAATTTTTATATTTATAATATAGCAATGTCAAAAGTCCGAAAGATAAGAAAAATTTCCGTTTTTACAAGCGGCGGAAAATTTCCCGTGTTGACATTGAGTTATATCAACACGGCTCTTAATTAACCAATCAGCGTTCAGAGTTTACAAAATATGACACAGGGTTCGTAACGGTCTTTGAAATCTTTGAAAGTCTTTAAATTTGAATGCAGGTCTTTAAGGTCTTTGAAAATGATCCTGAAGGGGGACCCCAATCCCATTTTCCACCTGAAAATTTGGCAAATCTTACTCCCAGTTGGATTTTTATTATTATCCCACTCCGAGTTATTGAAATCCCAGTCAATAAAGACTTTTTCAGCCACCGTGTGCGCAAGTGGCGGACACTTTATGTAATACGGGGGGGGGTGCTTGTGCCGAAGGTACGGAAAATTTTTAAATTTGAATTCCGGAAATAGCATTTGCAGCATTCTGAGACACGCATAATCAAAAAATCCAGAATTCCGGGAGCCAGTGTATGCCTGTTTGCAGGTAGTGCTGTGAATAATATAGTTAACAACAAAAATCATGACGAAAGACACCAAAAACGGATCAAAATTGGGAATCGACTCACATTACTTTATCCCATTTTTGTGGACTTCATTTTCATATTCATTTCCATATTCAGTCAGGCAATATTTTCCGAGCCAACGTCCTTCGTCCTCTGGTCGTAGAGAAGGAAAACGAAAGGGGAACGCAGGCAACAACAAACTATCTATGCGAGATTTGGTTTTGCTAAGTGGCATAGATGACGACGTGGGGTATCTATATATATATATATATATATATATATATATATATATATATATATATATATATATATATATATATATATATATATATATATATATATATATATATATATATATATATATATATATATATATATATATATATATATATATATATGTAAATATGTATATATATGTGCCATGGGTTTAATGACTCTCTTATGAAATATAGCAACCCCAATAAACCAGTTAGTCATGTTGATGAACCAGTCGTCCATGACTCCCTGACCTCATTTGACCATCTCCTAAAAGAAAAGGCCGCTTTAAATGCCAGCACGCACCGTCATAAGAGGAATCAAGTGCATTGTTCTCTAACTAACACAACACGTTTTTCGAAACCTAATTACCGGCGCAATCAGTTTTCCAAGCCTAAATATCAATATCGTCAAACAAATTTTCCCTCAAAGAATTTTCGAAGCGGTCGCTATCGAAGGATTCCGAAACCAAGAACAACAACCGCAGTAAGTACAGACACAAGAGCAAGCCAAGTCAACCCGATATTCAAAGTGAAACCTTTCCAATCAAAGTCAGAGTTACAGCTCGGAGAAACGAAGTCCTGGGAAGCCTACCTACAGTTCGTCAACCGCACCTTGGACCAGTTTGGAACCCTCGTTTAGGCGCAATCCAACGGACATGTGATAATCATACCTCTCAGAGGAAGGTAAATCCTAACAATTTAATTAACATTAAAACTAATACAAACTCTCTCCCCCCCCCATTGGAAAGCGCTGCCTGCCCAACCTTCTCATTTCCAATGTGCGCTCAATTGCCTCTAAGATAGATGAATTAAGTGTCGTTGTTTCCATCAACCAAATCGACATTGTGTGTATTACTGAGACTTGGCTTTCCTCTACGATTCCCGACTCGGCAATATCTCTTCCAAATTTTAATATTATTAGAAATGATCGCTCTTCATCTTGTGGAGGTGGAGTGTGCATTTTTATAAACAACAGTATATATTGTCAACGCCTAACTGCTTTTGAAGATCCTACAGTTGAGTCCTTGTGGCTCCTCGTTAGACCCACATGGCTCCCCCGCTCGACTTCAGTTATACTATTGGCTGTAATCTACCACTCCACATCAGCTGGCCACACCGAAAATGTAAACCTTTATTCTCATATCCAAACCAATGTTGATACTTTCATGCAATCACATCCTGATGCCCTTGTTTTAATCACAGGAGACTTCAATTATAGGAGTACTGGTTTCAACGCAAAATATATCCAAAGATCAATTGGCCTTTTCCAAATAATTAAGGTGCATACTAGAGATAATGTAACCTTAGACTGGTGCCTAACTAACCGCAATGATAGCTTATACGATCCTATCAAATTTCCACCTCTAGGAAACAGTGATCATAACATGGTTTGTTTAAAATCCCTAAATCCCCCTTTAAAACCTGATAAAGTCAAGGTATGGAAGCGGGACCTTAGGGAAAGCTCGTTACAACCTTTTGGCCGCTGGATAACTTCATTTGATTGGTCAGATATTTTTACTACAAATGCGTGCGAAGATAAATATGGAAAATTTAATGACATAATGAGTGATATGATTGATATTTTACTCCCTTTGAAAAGAACTAAAGTAACTAAATGTGACAAACCATGGCTGACGTCATCAATAAAAGAGTTAATTATAAAACGTCAAAAAGCTCTCCATTATTATGGGAAAAATTCTGATGCGTATAAACTCTGGCGAAACCAAGTCCAGCAATCAATTAAATCGGCCCGATTTAAGTATTATGCCCAATCAGTTGAGAAACTAAAAACTTCCAATCCCTCAAGATGGTGGAAAGAAATTAAGTCGTTGGGTGGTATATCTTCCAAAAGTTGTTGGTATAATCAACTACTTTCTAATGATATTCCTAATTGCCATGACTTGGCTGAAGTATTTAACTGTTTCCTTTCCGGTCTTACATCACATTTTACTCCTTTAACACGCGAGGAAGAACAATTGGATTTCAATGTACCAGGTGAATACCTCATCGACGCTAATAAAGTGTACAATGAACTCCGCAAAATTAAAACCAATAAAAGCCCTGGTCCAGATATGATACCTAACAAAATTTTGAAAGTCTTTGCATATGAACTTTCCCCAGTCATTACGGACATTTACAATTCGTCTATCATCCAGGACGTGTTTCCGATGAACCTCAAACGGTCTATTGTAGTTCCAATCCCTAAAGTCTCACTACCTCAAAGCGTGGAGGACGATCTAAGACACATATCATTAACGTCCCAAATTTCTAATGTCATGGAGGGGTTCACCTTGACAAAATTATTTGGCCAAATTGAGAGTAAATTGGACACGAAGCAGTTTGCGTTACCAGGGAAATCTACGACTCACGCCCTAACATACCTCCTGCACACCATTTTGTCTGCCCTTGAGAACACTTCCTGCTCCGCTAGATTGTTTTTTGCAGACATTAAAAAGGGGTTCGATCTTGTTGATCATAATGTCATAATATGCGAGCTGGAAAATCTTGGTGTACATCCTGCCATAGTGAGGTGGATAAAAGCTTTTCTTAGCAATCGTGAACAGTGTGTGCGAATTGAAAACTCATACTCGTCGTGGAAGAAAACAAACGGTGGTCTACCACAAGGAACAAAACTAGGACCGCTACTTTTTGCAGTCCTTGTAAATTCTTTGCTCAAGGATTGGCCTGGGAGAGTCAAATTTGTCGATGATACTACGGTCTTGGAAATAATTCCACGATGTTCACCCAGCTTCCTACCAATTATCGTGGACCAAATATCCGATTATGCAAACGAACGAGGAATGAGACTAAATCCAAAGAAATGCAAAGATATGGTTATTACGTTTCTTAAGTATAAACTAGTAGAAAATGACATTTTTATAGGCGGTGATGTGGTGGAGAGAGTCTCCAGTATTAAACTACTAGGCGTGTGGTTGACTAACAATCTTTCGTGGGATATACACGTAGAGATAAAATTTTAAAGAAAGCGAATTCACGCATATATGCTTTACGCCTATTAAAGAAAGCTGGATTGAGCCCTTTAAACATTGTTCATATTTATTGTGCAGTTATAAGATCCCAGTTGGAGTATGCATCACCAGTTTGGTCCGCTCTTCCAAAGACATTATCAGACCTTATTGAGTCGGTGCAAAAAAAGAGCTTTAAAAATCGCGTATCCCACTCTATCTTATGATGAAGCATTACACAAAAGTAACATTAAACTACTGAGTACAAGAAGAGAAGAAGCATGTAGGAAATTAATTAACTCACTTCGAGACCAAGATTCGCCACAGAACCCTTTAACTGCAATAGTTAAATCCGGTCTACCAGACCGAACTCATAATTAGGATCTGGGTAATAACAATCCGCAATTCTTACCGATAATGTCTGAACGGTTAAAGAACTTTTTTACCATTAAATATAGTTAACATTTTATGAATACATTTTTATAATAGGTAGTTTAATAGTTAGAGTATATTATCGTAATCTACCCTAATTTAGGATAGAATACATATTATCATACTATATAACATTGTTAACGTAAATTTTAATATTTAATATTGTAAATATTGTTTCCATGTAATTCAGCTTTAGCTGCAAAATGGATATTATTAAACTAATAATAATAATAATAATAAAAATTAAACTAATAATATAAATAATAATAATACAAAAATACAAGGCTGCTTGTTTCGCCGGATGTTGCAACATAACGACACGTCTTTGTGGCTAATGAGTATAAGACTTTATATCACGCTTACACGATGTTCTCTCTTCACAATGTTATGTTCTGGCCAGATTATTATGGTAATGGCGGGAAAAAATAATAATAAAAAAAAGTAATTGATCTATTCAATATAAAATATCACTGAGCTCAAGTATATCTGGAGTTACGATTCCGGTGCAACCAGAACATCGTGTCATTTTTTACCGCGTGACGATAGTCCGGCAATTCAGATGACGCTTTGCCGCGATCCGAGTATGGTTTTTTAGGATAGTGCAGGCGAAACGTAAAGTCATTAAGACACAGTGCTCAACCGTGTGGCCAGAACATAACATTGTGCAGGGAGAACGTCGTGTAACCGTGACGTAAAGTCTTATTCATTGGCCACAAAGACGTGTCGTTATGTCGCAATATCCGGCGAAACGAGTAGCCTTGTGATTTTTTCTGTGTTGGTGTGATGTACTCAGCTGACGATGATGCTTGTGATGTTACTCTGAGTGTATATCGATACCGGGAAAACTAGAAAAAATATGCCTGGCCACAGTGGGCTAGTGTTCCAAAGGTCGTAGGTTTGATTCCCACTGTGGTCATGCAGGCATATTTTTCAAGCTTGCCCGGTGTGGATATACACTCAAAGTAACATCACAAGCATTAAGTAGCCTTGTATTTTTGAACCGGATACCGCTCCATACTCGCCTGTAAGCCCTTAATTGCCGCCTTTCGTGTTTCCCGGGGAGAAACGCGGCAGAAACGTGAAGACAATGCCAACGCCACTTAACGCGCGCTGATTCGTGATAGACCGCGCGGTGATGGCGTTTAAGGGGACTGAAACTGACGTATTATATGGTGTGGCATTCTCGTACACATAGCCCTTCTTACGTGCGTTCGACCGAACGCGACGAACGGCCCTGGCCAAACCATAACCGGATACCGTAAAAACATGGTAAGAGAACACTATCCGGTATTAGAACTATGGCCAATCAGATGCCAGTTTGATATGGATTTGGCCAGAGCCCCTCGTCGCGCTCGGTCGAACGCGCGTGGAAAGGGCTCTGGGTACGAGAATGATGACGTGGGGATCAGACCGCACGGTGATGGCGTTATAAAGGGACTGAAACTTATGTACTAGTATGGCGTGGAAATGGCGTGGAAGGCTGACATCACTGCTCACGCGTTGCTCACGCGTTGCTCACGCGTTGCTCACGCGAGGCTTCACTTTTTAACTGCCAAATGACTAAATCACAGAATAGGAAGGTATACGAGAAGTCTCACTCAAGCAAGTATTTGTCCGCGTTTTTAGTTTTTACAAGCAATTCGTCATCAATCACGCCATCCTGGCTAGTACAACCGGCACTTTGTACCTACCAAAACCTGATAAAAACTTCCGGTGGTACTAGCCAGGATGGCGTGAGCGAGTTAAAATTTTCGTGGACGTAGGCACCGACTCTATGACTAAATGTAATCGTTCCAGGTAAATAGATTGAGTTCACTGGTCCACCTCAGTGATACTATAGAGGTTGTAGAGGTTTAGATTTGACTTCCACTACCTCTAACTGGCTTAGTACGGATCTGGTTGGTTAACCGAATATATCAAACGCATCTAATTGCTTGATAGTACCTTAATGGTGGCGGTAGCTGACACTGGAAGTCAAATCTGAACCTCTATCTATACTCTGTAAAGAAACGACTGCGGACGAGTCAGGTACAGCAAACTCCATAAAAATTGGAACGATAACTAAGGCTGTGAAGCCAAAATTACCAAGATAGCGGAAATTGAAGCCCGTCTTGTAGGTATGCCCTAAGCCCCTAAGCGGAAATTTACTGAATTCAGTACGAAAAATCGGCATCGTTTCATGTAGAAATTTCATAATTTTCTGCCTACTATTTTGGAAGTCCCGCTTTGTCGTCACCCTAAAAGACTAGAGAAACTAGTAACTTACTCGTCTTTTAGGATAAGCAAATTTTAGAAACACTTCATCATAAAAAGAAAAGTTATTTGACGAGTGAAAAACGAGTTCAGAAAAAAAGCAGCTGAACTGAACACAGCTAGAATAATATGGACTGCAGTTGCATCAATCTTACCTTTTAATTTTGTTTTTAGCTTCTAGGCAGGGTATTTAACAATAAAATGTGCATTTAATATGTGCAAAAATTGAAAAACATCCATCGGAAAACTTTGTTCATTTTTCAGCTCCCGCGAAGTCCCCACGAAACTGATAAAAACACGCGTGCTTTATACCTACAAGAGATCACTCTACAGGCAGGGGTGAATAGGGATATACAAATCCGCCGATCTGATTAAATTTGAAGCAAAATCCGCCATCCGACAATGGTTTTGAAAACCGAAAACTTATTCACCCCTCCCAGGCCGCAATCTTTTAAGAGGGCCGTTTACCTAGACTTTATTGTTCCAGTATTTATATAGTTCACCGGTCAGGTCTTTACTATATAGCTACAGTATATAGATGTGGTTCCATTCGCAGCTGTACCGCGTTTTCTAGCAATTTCGATCTATTAATTAATTACAAAAATACGCATTACTGATTAAGCTCTTCGGCGTCTGCACTCAAAATAAAATTGTTTGGGTTTATGGTTTAACTTGTTTTTACTGTGCGGATAATGAATGACACATTATTAATTAAGGACATAAAGTTGTCTATCTATACAGTAATCACACTTCACAACAGCATGCATAATTGTTGCATATTTACACCAGCGTTGCCTGTTTGGCGACTGGAAGAGTGGTTTAAGGTCGTGACCAAGACAAAAGAACAGACAATATAATGGATGATTCCAGCTATCGACTAATTTTTTATCTGGACAAGAAAGACCAAATCTATCATTATAGGCATAGCTGAGTAGTATACGAAAGTAAACATCCAAGATGGCGGCGCAAAATGAATTGCTGGCCGAGGCAATTTTGCGCCGCCATCTTGGATGTTTACTTTCGTATACTACGCATGCGCTGTTAAGACAATCCGTAAGCAAAAGGCTTTCGTTTGCCGCACACGGAAAGATTTTGGCACGCGAGGCAGAAATTATCAAACATGTTTGATATTTGGCGTAAGTGGCACGAATGACAAAAGTTGTTCGTAAATCGCCCGCACACGAGAGCTATCTCCTTACGCCAATGGGCACGAATGAAATTTGGCTAAGCACATAGCTCCAGTGTGCGCCGGCCTTAAGATGTAACAATGCACTCCGCCGAATATTAATTTAACATCTTGTAAGAAGAGGCCGCGGAGGCGCCCCGAAAGTGGGGGGGGGGGGAGGGGCACTGACCAGAAAGGGCTCTTGAGTCAGCGCACATTCTAAATATGTTGTTAGATGTGTCGTTAGCCTAGGTTTGGACGTATACAATATACAGCCTCGGATGTTATACGTATTCTCTAATAGCTCTGCGTCCTAAACTGAACATGAACATATTAATTCAACATAAATTTAAAGAGAATTGCCAGCAAATTCCGGTCGTTTTTGATAACAAAGTCTTTTATATACTCTTTAGGTCTGTCTTTGTTTACGTGCATAACAATAAGACAGGGCATTTGTCGACTTCTTAGCTATAAGGGGGCACTTTATAATTCCTCTCATTGCTGGGAAAAAGAGCGCCTGCCCCCGAGGCCCCCTCACGTTCCGCGGCTTCTGGTTGTAAGCTGAACATTCGACCTTATTTAATTTATAGACAAGACTACAAAATTCGGTAATATTTCGACTTGATTTCAACATGTAAGTAACTTTTAAAGTCGAGATATTGCCTAGAACGGTTGTTGTACCCATTGTCCATTGAGTTTACAAGATGTTTTAACCGCTTGTTCACGTTCAGGAAATCAGGAAATCGATATCATTAATGTATTATTTATTCATTGTCCATATTAAGCAACCTTTTAAGTTTTTATTGTCAGATATTGGTTCTTCAATCTTCAGGATTTAGATTCATGTTTCATGACTTATTTGCTTACAAAATGAAACTCATGCACTACAAATATTAAAATATTCGTGATGTGTTGATTTCCTGAACGTGAACAAGTACTTTAATTTTGGTCAGAGTATATTGCCATCATTCATTAATTAATACAATGGTTTTCAACTTGGGGGACATGCCCCCGAGAGGGGACATTTGGCAAATTCCTAGGGGACACAAACTGGTCTAGGACTGAGAAAACAATAGTTGAATACAATAGTTGATTACAATAGTTTGTACTATAAACATGTTTGCTTGACTTTCTATCTATTATTTAAAATTTAAATCATTTACTATTTTACTAACTATTTCGAAATTCGTGTTTTTGATAGACTTCAGTGGGCAATTTCTGTTCAGGGGACGTGGTAATTCAATCATGTGAATTCGGGGACACATGAGAAAACCCGAGTTGAACACCGTTGCATTAATATAATTACTTTTAGTTCTTGTACATGTGCTTGACTGCCAAGTTGATTAGGTACTTGCATGATTAAAGAAATACGGAAATATCTAATTAGAGGGTGGGAAAGGGTATATTCGTGAGCCGTGAATGGTCAATATTTGTTCGCGTGAGATATGAAATGCTTGATTTTAGTGTCGTGAAATGTGATTTGTTCAACAGCCGTGAGGCGTGATTGTTGATAAAAATGCTTCGTGAAATAAGAATTAAAGATGTCTGTTTCGTGAACTGTGATTTTGCATTGTTTATTTCGATCTATTTTATAATAGTCATAATAAATGGGCACATATTAATAACAGTCTCTTGTGCACTGAAATGTTTTATCCTCTGTAAAGATTTTTGTAATAATAATAATAAACATGATACGCGATAATCAAATTTATATGACGACAAGGTTCCTCACGCTGAGGACAAGGTTCCTCACGCTGAGGACAAGGTACCTAACGCTGAGGACAAGGTTCCTCACGCTGAGCACAAGGTTCCTCATGCTGACGACAAGGTTCCTCACGCTGAGGACAAGGTTCCTCACGCTAGCTGAGGACAAGGTTCCTCACGCTGAGGACAAGGTTCCTCACGCTGAGGACAAGGTTCCTCACGCTGAGGACAAGGTTCCTCACGCTGAGGACAAGGTTCTTCACGCTGAGGACAAGGTTCCTCACGCTGAGGACAAGGTTCTTCCCGCTGAGGACAAAATTTTCCTCACGCTGAGGACAAGGTTCCTCACGCTGGGGACAAGGTACCTCACGCTGAGGACAAGGTTCCTCACGCTGAGCACAAGGTTCCTCACGCTGAGGACAAGGTTCCTCAAGCTGTGGACAAGGTTCCCCACGCTGAGGACAAGGTTCCTCACGCTGAAGACAAGGTTCCTCACGCTGAGAACAAGGTTTCTCACGCTGAGAACAAGGTTCCTCCCGCTGAGGACAAGGTTCTTCACGCTGAGGACAAGGTTCCAATTGAAGAACCAATCTATCCGACAATAAAAACATAAAAGGTTCTCAATAGACAATGAATAAATTAATGATATTGATATCTTTATACAGTTAGTTTATGGTTTCCCGTGTTTGGATAGCCTGATCCAAACACGCGGGAATGTTGTGAGAGTTAAGAAAAGCGCGCGCAAAACACGAGCCGAAGGGGAGTGATTTTGCACGTTTTTCGTAACTCAAGTAACATTATTTCCCAAGTGTTTTGATCCGGCCATCCAAACACGGAAACCATAAAGTAATTGTTTTATAAAATAACAACAACGCGATAGTCTTCCGTGTTTGCATTGGCAGAAATTCACTTTTTCCGGTTGTGGGGGGGGGGCGAAGCCTTCTAAATTTCCGACAAAACTTTCAAATTTCCGACAAACCCCCCCGCCCCCATTTGCACTCGAAAAGGCTGTTTTTAGCCCTTTTATAGGTCAAAATTTCCGAAAATTCGTCATTTTCCACGAAGGCGGGGGGAGGGGACGGGCAGCCGCCCCCCCCGCCCCTGTTTGTTTGGGTGGCCTGATCCAAACACGGGTGTCGACCAATCAGAGCACGTGTTATATACATGTTATTTTATAATCTGATTTCCTGAACGTGAACAAGTACTTTCATTTTAGTTAGAGTATATTACCATAATTCATTAATATAATTTACTTTTAGTTCTTGTACATGTGCTTGACTGCCAAGTTGCTTGGGTACTTGCATGATTAAAGAAATACGGAAATATCTAATTAGTTTGCCTAATTTGAAAGAACTTTTAAAAATTATGTAGAAACCTTTTTACGTAATATTTCAAATCCGACTGTGAGGACTGGACCAGATTTCAAATCCGCGCAATTTGAGCAAGTCCAAGGCGAAACCGAGGACTTCGAAGGCCTTTCCCATCAAAAGGCCTTTGCCTTCGAAGTGCCTTTTCCTTGAAGCCTACGCCCTACATATAATGCTTCAAACTACGACATTACACTTCCAAGGTCCTTCGCCTTTGAATTGCTTTGCTTTGCTTTGCTTTGAAACCAACGTTCCACATATAATGCTTTAAAACTAGCTACGCCATTGTTTCCAAAGCCGTTTGCCTTTCCAAGGGCCTTTGCCTAATTGGTAATACAACATCGTCCGACCCAACCGTACTAACACTCGATTGATTGTGAGTAAAGAGGATGTTTGCTTGTTTCAGTCGTACAATTCACACTTTGCATTCGAAACGCTTTTGCGTTTATCTTCATAAGACCTTTGCCTGCCAACTGTCTTTGCCTTCGAAGGGCCTTCGCCTTGCCATCGAGGGGACTTTACCATCGAGGGGACTTTGCCATCGAAGCTCCTTTGCCATTGAAGGGCCCTCCGCCTTTGCATTCGAGGAACATGGCAACATCCTCCGTCGTCTTCATCCTCAGTCGTCTTCATCCTCAGTCGTCTTCATCCTCCGTCTTCCTCACCCTCCGTCCTCTGTCTCTACGGTAATGCATACACATCGGGTGAGTGTCCGAAAAGAGGATGTTTGCTTTTTACAGTCTTACAATTCATACTTTGCCTTCGGACCGACGGCATTTGCTTTCGAAACGCTTTTGCGTTTATCTTCATAAGACATTTGCCTGCCAACTGTCTTTGCCTTCGAATGGCCTTCGCCTTGCCATCGAAGGGACTTTGCCATCGAAGCTCCTTTGCCATTGAAGGGCCCTCCGCCTTTGCATTCGAGGAACATGGCAACATCCTCCGTCGTCTTCATCCTCAGTCGTCTTCATCCTCAGTCGTCTTCATCCTCCGTCTTCCTCACCCTCCGTCCTCTGTCTCTACGGTAATGCATACACATCGGGTGAGTGTCCGAAAAGAGGATGTTTGCTTTTTACAGTCTTACAATTCATACTTTGCCTTCGGACCGACGGCATTTGCTTTCGAAACGCTTTTGCGTTTATCTTCATAAGACATTTGCCTGCCAACTGTCTTTGCCTTCGAATGGCCTTCGCCTTGCCATCGAAGGGACTTTGCCATCGAAGCTCCTTTGCCATTGAAGGGCCCTCCGCCTTTGCATTCGAGGAACATGGCAACATCCTCCGTCGTCTTCATCCTCAGTCGTCTTCATCCTCAGTCGTCTTCATCCTCCGTCTTCCTCACCCTCCGTCCTCTGTCTCTACGGTAATGCATACACATCGGGTGAGTGTCCGAAAAGAGGATGTTTGCTTTTTACAGTCTTACAATTCATACTTTGCCTTCGGACCGACGGCATTTGCTTTCGAAACGCTTTTGCGTTTATCTTCATAAGACATTTGCCTGCCAACTGTCTTTGCCTTCGAATGGCCTTCGCCTTGCCATCGAAGGGACTTTGCCATCGAAGCTCCTTTGCCATTGAAGGGCCCTCCGCCTTTGCATTCGAGGAACATGGCAACATCCTCCGTCGTCTTCATCCTCAGTCGTCTTCATCCTCCGTCTTCCTCACCCTCCGTCCTCTGTCTCTCCGGTAATGCATACACATCGAGTGAGTGTCCGAAAAGAGGATGTTTGCTTTTTACAGTCTTACAATTCATACTTTGCCTTCGGACCGACGGCATTTGCTTTCGAAACGCTTTTGCCTTTCTCTTTATAAGACATTCGCCTTTCAACGGCCTTTGCCCTTGCCATCGAAGGGTCTTTGCCTTCAAAGTGCCCATTTTGCCTTTGCCATCGAAGGGCATTCGCAATCGAATGGCATTTTGCCTTCAAAGTGCCCTAGCTTCCTTTTGCCTTCGAAGAGCATTTTCCTTCAAGCAAACGCTCCCACTTACAATGCTTCAAACTACTCCATCCCTTTAACCGCTGCAACATCCTCCGACAAAGACTCGAGTGATTGTGAGAAGGGTCTTTGCCTTCAAGATACCCTTGCCTTTGTTATGGAAGGGCCTTTGCCATCAAAATGCCCTTCTTCCCTTTCCCATCGAGTGGCCCTTAATTGCCATCGAATGGTATTTGCCTTCAAAGTGACCTTGCCTTTGCCACGAAGGCCCTTTCTGAAGAAGGGACTTTGCCTTTGCATACAAAGGGGTCTTTGCCTCCAAACTGCCCTTGCTTTTGCCATCGAAGGGCCTTTTGCCATCGAGGGGCTTATGCCTTCAAATTGCCCCTAACTTTGCCATCGAATGGCTTCAGACTTCAAAACGCCCTTCCCATCGAAGGCCAGGCCATTTGCCTTCGCCGTTGCGTTTATCTTCGAAGGACCTTTTCCTTGAAGCCAACGCTCCACTTATTATAATGCCTCAAACAACTCCATCGCTTTAACCGCGGTAACATCGCCCGTCCTAAACTCTCTGGTAATGCAACATCCACCGACCCAGCCGTACAAAGACTCGAGTGATTGTGAGAAAAGAGGATGTTTTCTAGTTACAGTCGTACAATTCACATTTTGCCTTCGGACAGCCTTTGCGTTCGAAAAGCTGTTGCCTTTATCTTCATAATGTCTTTGCGTTCGAAGCTCGAACAGACTTTGTCTTCGAAAGGCCTTCGCCTTTGCTTTTGAAGAGACTTTGCTTTGCCATCGAAGGACCTTTCCCGTCAAAGCGCCTTCGCCATCGAATGGCCTTTGCCTTCAAAATGCCCCTGCCCTTGCCAACGACAAGACTCTGACATCGAAGGGTCTTTTCCTTCAAAGTGCCCTTTGCCGCATAGAAGGTTCTTTTGCTTCGAAGCGCCCTTGGCATTGAAAGGCTTTTCTCAACGAAGGGACTTTGCCATCGAAGCGCTTTTGCGCCATTGAAGGGCCTTCGCCATCGAAGGCATTTGCCTTTGCCACAGAGTGGAGACATACAGAGCTGTACCTGACCGTCGTAAACACTGTGGAGAAGCTTACGTTTTCAGGTACCCACTTTTTTCTGGCGACCGGGCAAAGAATGATTAACTGCGCGTGCTCGTCAAGTTCCGCGAGCAGTTACCACTCGTCATTTGACGTTGTCATCCAATCAGATGCATGCATCTAGTAACTTGCCGTGCACGCGCACAAAAAAGGTGGTTACACTAGTTACAACTCTGTATATGTATCTATTCTGTGCCTTTGAAGGGCCTTTTCCTTGAAGCCAACGCTCCACATGTAATGCATAAAACTACTCCATCGCTTTATCCGCGGCAACATCCTCTATCCTAGACTCTCAAGTAATGCAACATCCTCCGACCTCGCCCTACCAATACTCCAGTGATTGTGAGAATAGAGCATGTTTTCTTGTTACAGTCGTACAATTTACTCTTTGCCTTCTTGACATCGTTTGCCTTCGAACTGCGTTTACCTTTACCTTTACCTTTACCTTTACCTTTACCTTTACCTTTACCTTTACCTTTACCTTTACCTTTACCTTTACCTTTACCTTTACCTTTACCTTTACCTTTACCTTTACCTTTACCTTTACCATCGAAGCGTCTTTGGCATCGAAGGGCCTTTCACTTTGTCATCGAAGGCGTTTGCCATCGAATGGTCTTTTTGCCAACAAAGTGACTTTGCCATCGAAGGGCCTTTGGCATCAAAGGGCCTTTGCCATTGAAGAGGGGAGGGAGCCTTGAAGGGCTTTCGCCATCGAAGGGCTATTGCCTTTGCTTTTGCTTTTGAAGGGCCTTTTCATTTATAATGTTTTTGTCTTCGGACTTTTTTTTCCTTCGAAAGGCCCTTACCTGTGGAACGTTGGCTTCAAGGAAAAGGCCCTTCGATGGCAAAAGTGCTTCCATGCCAAAGGCGATTCGATGGTAAAGGCCCTTCGACGGCAAAGGCAAGAAGGGCACTTCGATGACCAAGGCCCTTCGATTCCAAAGGCAAGGGCCTTTCGATGGCGAAGGTCCTTCGACGGCAAAGGCGCTTCCTTGCCAAAGGCAAGGTACTTTGAAGGCAAAGGCCTTTCGATGGCGAAGGGCTTTCGATGCCAAAGGCGCTTCGAAGCCAAAGGTCCCTCGATGGCAATGACAATGAGCGCGCTTTGAAGGCAAAGACACTTCGATGGCAAATGCAAGGGCACTTCGAAGGCAAAAACCCTTCGATGCCAAAGGCCCTTCCATGGCAAAGGCATGGGTACCTTGAACACAAAGGTCCTTCGATGACAAATGCAAGGGCACCTAAAAAAACCCTTCGATGGGAAAGGCAAAGACCCTTCGAAAGCAAAGTAAAGCGAAGGTCTTTCGAAAGCAAAAACCTAATGAAGATGAAGGGAAAAGCAGTTTAAAGGCAAAGGCTGTCCGAAAGCAAAGTGTGAATTGTACGACTGTAACAAGCAAATATCTTCTTTTCTCACAATCACTCGAGTCTTGGTACAACTAGGTCGGAGGATGTTGCATTACCGGAGAGTCTAGGATGCAGGTTGTTGCCGCGGAGAAAGCGATGGAGTAGTTTAAAGCATTATATGGGAAGCCTTGGTTTCAAGGAAAAGGCCCTCCGATGGCAAAAGCAAGGGCACTTTGAAGGCGAAGAATTGTTCGAAGACATTTTACCTTATGAAGATAAAGGCAGAAGCAGTACGCAGGGAAAAATGCTGTGCGAAAGCAAAGTGTGAATTGCACGACTGTAACAAGCAAACATCCTCTTTTCTAATTAACAATCACCCGAGTCTTGGTACAGGTAGGTGGGGGGATGTTGCATTACCGGAGAGTCTAGGATGGAGGTTGTTGCCGCGGATAAAGCGATGGAGTATAGTTTAAAGCATTATAAGTGTAAACCCAGAAAAGACCATAATGTTGGTGGTTGGTACACGGCAACTCGTGAATCAATTGGAATCTCCCGTCCATATTAATTTTATGGGAGAAAATCTTACACCTGTGACGGAGGTTAAGGATTTGGGTATGCTTTTGGATTCCCATGTAAGGTACGACAAACATATACAAGCATTGTCCTCATCGTGTATCTCAAAATTGCGTCAGATTGGTCGCGTGAAACACAACTTTGATCAGTCAACATTAGCTACAATAATTTTTTCAGGCCTTTTTCTTGTAGCCAACGCTCCAGATATCATGCTTCAAACTTCCGTCGCTTTATCCGCGGCAACATCCTCCGTCCTAGACTCTCGGGTATTAATCAGCAACATCTTCCAACTCAGCCGTGCTAAGGCTCGAACGATTGTCCGAAATGAGGTTGTTTGTTTTTGACAGTCGTACAATTCACACTTTGGCTTCGGACAACCTTCACCTTCGAACTGCTATTGCCTTTATCTTCATAATGTTTTTGCCTTCGAACAAGTCCTTGGCTTCGCCTTCGAAGTGCCTTTGATATCGAATTTCCTTTGCATCGGACGGCCTTTGCAATCGAAAGGGCCTTTGTAATTGAAAGGGCTTATGCCATCGAACGCCCGTTGCCGTCGAAGGGCCTTTGCACTGGAAAGGCCTTGAAGGTGGACCGTTGTGCTTCAGCCGTTCAGGTCGTAAGAAGTCATTTTGGGATTCAAAAATGGTTGAATTTTAATTATTACAATCTACAGACAAAAAAGGTAACTGGTCGTTTCGTCCCTTTCACGTTTCGTCCGCACACTAGATACCGTTTTATCTATAACCTACTTCCGATATTCAAAGTGAAACCTTTCCAATCAAAGTCAGAGTTACAGCTCGGAGAAACGAAGTCCTTGGAGCCTACCTACAGTTCGACAACATGATCATACCTCTCAGAGGAGGGTAAATTTTAACAATTTAATTAACATTAAAACTAATACAAACTCTCTCTCCCCCCATTGGAAAGCGCTGCCTGCCCAACCTTCATATTTCCAATGTGCGCTCAATTGCCTCTAAGATAGATGAATTAGCCTAAGTGTCGTTGTTTCCATCAACCAAATCGACATTGTGTGTATTACTGAGACTTGGCTTCCTCTACGATTCCCGATTCTGCAATATCTCTTCCAAATTTTAATATTACTAGAAATGATCGCTCTTCGTCTTGTGGAGGTGGAGTATGCATTTTAAAAACAACAGTATATATTGTCAACGCCTAACTGCTTTTGAAGATCCTACAGTTGAGTCCTTGTGGCTCCTCGTTTCACCCACATGGCTCCCCCGCTCGACTTCAGTTATACTATTGGCTGTAATCTACCACTCCACATCAGCTGGCCACACCGAAAATGTAAACCTTTATTCTCATATCCAAACCAATGTTGATACTTTCATGCAAACACATCCTGATGCCCTTGTTTTAATCACAGGTGACTTCAATTATAGGAGTACTGGTTTCAACGCAAAATATATCCAAAGATCAATTGGCCTTTTCCAAATAGTTAAGGTGCATACTAGAGATAATGTAACCTTAGACTGGTGCCTAACTAACCGCAATGATAGCCTATACGATCCTATCAAATTTCCACCTCTATGAAACAGTGATCATAACATGGTTTGTTTAAAATCCCTAAATCCCCCTTTAAAACCTGATAAAGTCAAGGTATGGAAGCGGGACCTTAGGGAAAGCTCGTTACAACCTTTTGGCCGCTGGATAACTTCATTTGATTGGTCAGATATTTTTACTAGAAATGCGTGTGAAGATAAATATGGAAAATTTAATGACATAATGAGTGATGTGATTGATATTTTACTCCCTTTGAAAAGAACTAAAGTAACTAAATGTGACAAACCATGGCTGACGTCATCAATAAAAGAGTTAATTATAAAACGTCAAAAAGCTCTCCATTATTATGGGAAAAATTCTGATGCGTATAAACTCTGGCGAAACCAAGACCAGCAATCAATTAAATCCGCCCGATTTAAGTATTATGCCCAATCAGTTGAGAAACTAAAAACTTCCAATCCCTCAAGATGGTGGAAAGAAATTAAGTCGTTGGGTGGTATATCTTCCAAAAGTTGTTGGTATAATCAACTACTTTCTAATGATGTCCCTAATTGCCATGACTTGGCTGAAGTATTTAACTGTTTCCTTTCCGGTCTTACATCACATTTTACTACTTTAACACGCGAGGAGGAACAATTGGATTTCAATGTACCAGGTGAGTACCTCATCGACGCTAATAAAGTGTACAATGAACTCCGCAAAATTAAAACCAATAAAAGCCCTGGTCCAGATATGATACCTAACAAAATTTTGAAAGTCTTTGCATATGAACTTTCCCCAGTCATTACGGACATTTACAATTCGTCTATCATTCAGGACGTGTTTCCGATGAACCTCAAACGGTCTATTGTAGTTCCAATCCATAAAGTCTCACTACCTCAAAGCGTGGAGGACGATCTAAGACACATATCATTAACGTTCCAAATTTCTAAGGTCATGGAGGGGTTCACCTTGACAAAATTATTTGCCCAAATGGAGAGTAAATTGGACACGAAGCAGTTTGTGTTACCAGGGAAATCTACGACTCACGCCCTAACATACCTCCTGCACACCATTTTGTCTGCCCTTGAGAACACTTCCTGCTCCGCTAGATTGTTTTTTGCAGACTTTAAAAAGGGGTTCGATCTTGTTCATCATAATATCATAATATGCGAGCTGAAAAATCTTGGTGTACATCCTGCCATAGTGAGGTGGATAAAAGCTTTTCTTAGCAATCTTGAACAGTGTGTGCGAATTGAAAACTCATACTCGTCGTGGAAGAAAACAAACGGTGGTCTACCGCAAGGAACAAAACTAGGACCGCTACTTTTTGCAGTTCTTGTAAATTCTTTGCTCATGGATTGGCCTGGGAGAGTCAAATTTGTCGATGATACTACGGTCTTGGAAATAATTCCATGATGTTCACCCAGCTTCCTACCAATTATCGTGGACCAAATATCCGATTATGCAAACGAACGAGGAATGAGACTAAATCCAAAGAAATGCAAAGATATGGTTATTACGTTTCTTAAGTATAAACTAGTAGAAAATGACATTTTTATAGGCGGTGATGTGGTGGAGAGAGTCTCCAGCTTTAAACTACTAGGCGTGTGGTTGACTAACAATCTTTCAATGGCTAATCGATGTTATTATGAGTTATGACTTCTAATTGACTCCTCGTTGGTTGTTGGTAGTGGAATACTGGAGCCTATTTATATTACTGCACGAAATTATAAGAACCATGATCGGCACTCTTTTTTGGAACAACACAAATTATTGGTCCGAGAATACCATTATAGACGATTGTAACGAAAAAGTGGTTCATTTTAATCTTTGCTTTCAAAACGACTGAACAAGAATGCTCCCTTGAAGTCTATGAAAATTAGATACCAATTATTAGTCAAGACCTAAAACAACACATGTCGTCGAGGAATAAATTACTTAAGACTGCTCGCTGCACTGGTTTACCTGAGGATTGCAAAGATATCGGGCCTCTCGGAACGATGTCAAAATGAAATTGCGAATGGTCGAGAGGCGATACCTTCAGGAAGAGATACATAACAATAAGAAAAGCAATTCAATGTGGAAGCAATCAAGAACTGTATACCACGTAAAGAGATTACTCAACCCGCTTATACAGGAGATGTAAAGCTACTGGTAAACGAATTTAATGAATTCTTCACGACTGTGGGAGCTCGCGCAACTGAGACTGTAAAATCTCTGGCAAACGCCACGAAAATGGAATTTCCTTAATGCCACCTACGAATTCGGACACCTTTTTCGGAGACGAGTTCTCGTTCCGTGCGGTTTCCACATTTGAGATACGTAAAATAGTTCTTTGGCCTTCTTTCGTTTCCTTCGAATAAGGCTCTGGGGGACGATTAGGTATATCAATGAAAAATATTAAGGATGCGTTGCCGTGTATCCTACCCACCTTAACAGAAATCATTAACAGTTCTCTACTTACATCAGTTTTCCCGTCAACTTGGAAGGAAGCTGAAGTGATTGCTTTGTTGAAAGAAGGGGATCACGAGGTGGCTAATAACAATCGCCCGGTATCACTCTTACCTGCAATCTCTAAGATATGCGAACGCGTTGTCCTCAACCAGCTCACTGACTATCTTGTTAGGTATAAGCGCTTGTCAAGACATCAAAGTGGAAACAAAAATCATCATTCCACGGAAACGTTGAATATCTTTATAACGGATACTATATTGGAAGCAATGGATAAAAAGCATCTTACTGCACTGTACTGTTACTGCTAGACCTTTCGAAAGCTTTCGACAGCATGCATAGAACATTCCATTCTTTTTGCTAAACTTCGATCACTTGGAATCCCCAAAACTTCCCTCGAGTGGTTTAAAAGTTATCTCTCGGATCGTAGCCAGTTTGTGCGCTTAGCATCTCAAAGATCAGAATCTCGGAATATCACACACGGAGTACCACAAGGATCTTTTCTTGGTCCAATCCTTTTTAGTATAATATATATAAGCGACCTTCCATGTACACGTAGATGATTCGAAACTGCTTCTTTCCTTCGTCGTTAAAGAAATGGAAGACGCAGCGAAACGCCTCAATGACAATCTACGTAGGGTAGTGATTTGGTGTTGCAGCTACAGCCTTCTCATAAACCCGGAAAAGACGAAGCTGCTTCTTATGGGCACTCGTCAATTGCTATCTACCATACCGGATGGCTTTCACGTTACGTTACTAGGTAAATATATTTGTCCCTTCCCATCAGCAAAAAATCTTGGTATTACCTGGATAGCTTCCTGACCTATGATGACCACATTACATAAGTTGTTTCAAAATGTTTGGCTGCTCTTTGCCAAATCAGTCGTGTGAAACATTTGCTGGACACAGAAACACTTACTATTATAATTAAAGCTTTAGTGTTCAACAGGTTTGTATGATAGCTCATCGGTGTGGTCTAATACGATCAAAGAAAAACATTGATAAATTGCAGAATGTGCAGAATTTTGCAGCACGATTAGTTATGAACACCAGAAAGTTTGATCGTCTTATAACACCTGTTTTGTCAGAATTGAACCGGTTACCAGTAGATAGTACGTTGAATCTTAAGGACGCTGTAATGACTTTTAAATGTCTAAATGGCTTAGCCTCAACATATTTATCCTAAAAGTTTAAACAACGATCGCAGTTACATAAGTACATAACTGTAACACTAGAAGTAAAGATACGTTACAAACTCCGTTTTACCATATAGTGCCTCTGGCCAACGTGGTTTTATATACAGAGCCGTAAAAATTTGGAACGATCTACCTGACACCATATACAGGGTGTATAAAAAAAAACGCAACCTCGGAATTTCCCAAGAAATCGACATTGTTTTAAAGACAAAAGATTTTAGGCCCCTGGGAATTGAAATCGAATTGCTAATAGATCATATTACTGTTGTTGTACGCATGTGCATTAAATAAATGCATAAATTTTGCTTTATGCACTCGCGTGTGCAGTAATTTTGACAGTTGTGCTATTTTAAATTCCCAGGCGCCTAAAATCTTTTGTCTTTAAAACAATGTCGATTTCTTGGGAAATTCCGAGGTTGCGTTTTTTTTTATACACCCTGTATAAAGTGTATCGACTCTGTGACTAGTTTTAAATTATATATAAGAGGATTCTTAATTCTATTTTCAATAGTTATATTTAACATTGTAATTGATGCATGTTAACTTTTAGATTTTTTATATACAGGGTGTATAAAAAAAAACGCAACCTCGGAATTTCCTAAGAAATCACTTTGCAATTCTTAAGCATAAAAGATTTTAGGCCCCTGGGAATTGAAATCGAATTGCTAATAGATCATATTACTGTTGTTGTACATTAAATAAATGCATAAATTTTGCTTTATGCACTCGTGTGTGCAAAAATTTTGACAGTTATGCTATTTTAAATTCCCAGGCGCCTAAAATCTTTTGTCTTTAAAACGAAGTCGATTTCTTGGGAAATTTTTTTAGGCGCCTGGGAATTTAAAATAGCACAACTGTCAAAATTACTGCACACGCGAGTGCATAAAGCAAAATTTATGCATTTATTTTTAAATAATATCAGTAATATGATCTATTAGCAATGCGATTTCAATTCCTAGGGGCCTAAAATCGTTTATGCTTAAGAATTGCAAAGTAATTTCTTAGGAAATTCCGAGGTTGCGTTTTTTTTATACACCCTGTATAAATTAGTATGTATTAGATTAATTCTGAAAAGCCCACTGAGAGAATTAATAAAGTATAATAATAATGATATAATAATTACAATCCTCGTCAAAACCATCAGCGACACTCTATTAAAACCTTACCTTAAGCTAAGGGATAATTTACTCTTCACCGCCCCTTCCCTCCCCGCCCGCCACAAAATTTTAAAAGTATCCAACGTCCCACCGTTGGGAATTTGGTGAAAAACTATTGAGAATAATTCCCAGTTGCATTTTTAAACTTCACAAATTTTAATTTTAACCATCTTTAATAAGTTGTTTTAAGCATGTTGCTTGGTAAGACACATTACAAAGTTGAATTACCCTAGTTTGATTCCCTTTATGGCCAGGAAAACAATTTCTGGACACTAATCATCCCAGCTAGCTGGTTTGTTTTTGTTCTTTTGTTTATAATCCCACAGTTTTCCATGCTCGCAATTATTTTTAGTTCGTTTCAAAGAGCCTATTGTCCGCTGGTAAGGGTTTTGTACTGATGTGTACCAGAAAGACCACACATGCAAGCAGCAACCGCCAACCTTTTAAAAAAGGAGAAAGTGTAAAGACTACTTTCAAATAAAACAGATACTATGCAGGGTGTATAAAATTAAGTGTCAAATTACTACCAAAGGTCAAATTCAAATTAACAGCAGTAATCTATTGTAGTAATTTGACAGCCGTATAGGTCTTCTGCACATGGGAATTTAGGATAACTTCTATTTGTATGAACAAACACACAACTCAAAGAAAAATGTTTAAATTGAGCATTATTCGAGTCTGCATAAGATATAAAATGGGCCAGCTTACTGCAGAGCAACGAATATTTAAAGGTTATGGCTAATTTGAATTTGAGAGGGTGTTCTAAAATTCCTTTCAATTTTAGTCACAGAAACGAGGCCAAGAAGGGTTATTAAGATGCACATAAAAGAATATTAAAATCTGTCTGTATTACGAAGGTGGTCTATAAATGCACGAGATTTCATGTCTCTTTGGCAAGCAAGCAAGTCAGTCGGAGAAGAAGAATTTGTAGCGAAGAGCCAGGGAGCGACGTTGGACTTTGTATGTAACAGTGTACCTTAGATCATTATATTTTTCTGTACTGCTGCGGAATTGGTACTGAATTGTCGGTAGCAACAGAGCTGCACAAACTGTTGGAGACTGACACAAAAACAACAGTCAAATACTTATAAACAGCCAGAAATTGAAGCTAGTTATACAAACGCGTTTATTTTCAAGAAACGGCGTTTCGTGGTGAATATACGATTTAACGTTGAAATATCTTTGTGGTATTAAGTGAGCTGATTTGCAACGTTTAGCTATTAAAGGCGTATCTATACCCCCAATGTATTTTTGTTGACATTTGCAACGACCTGTGTCTGAGCAAGAACGAAAATATGAATCAGATCAGTTCTCTTTTCGAATGTTTATTGTGTATACTAGTATACTACGTATAAGGCGTGAATTAAAGAACCGTTCAAGCGTTTAGCGTGTCAATAGTCATGATCTAGATTTATCGACTTTGCTTGTCAGGAGCCAGTTGAATGAAGGCCGGATAACGCTATTCACTGAATAGTGAATGGCGATCTTTTTCAATATTTCTAAACGTACTGAAATGCTCGAAGTTGAACAGTTTGGTAGCCATGGGTATGGACCTACAATTACTAAAAATTCTTTAATTTATAAATACTATAGCTAAAGTTTAATCTACAGGGTGTCTAAAAAAAGGGACTTTAGAAATTCACCTTATTGTTACAGTGAAGCGGTTTAAGCGAGTTAACAAGGGAAATTTTGCCGAGTCATCACAACCACTAATATATATTTATTTTCCCAAAATTGTTAGCGAGCGTGGTGGTGGTGGTGGTGGGGGGGGGGGGTATTTTGTGTCTAACTACAGTTAATGTTCCAATTTTCGCTAATGTTTTCGTAAATTTCTCCACATTTCTTAATTTTTAATCGGTGTCACTCAAATATTTTAAATTTTTTCTTCCTATCCAAATCATGTTTATTTTTTGCCAATTACTGGGATTGATTATTTCGCAGACTATATTCCCCGATAATCACCGAGCCTGAGGCGAATAATTGTTTTAGTATTTTTGCACAAGTTTTTTTTGTGTTTTTCTGGTCTGAATTCATTCAGTTAATTTCGCTTATTTCTTTATCACTAACTACCAGGGGCGGACTAGTAACATTCCGGGCCTCGGTCAGGAATAAAATCCGGGCCCATGTGCAAGCTAGTGTACAAATATATAGTTTTTTAAAATATTATTTTCTTTGCTTAAAATAATATGTGAATTGAATTATAAGTCGCTGAGGTCATCATCATTTCCTGGTAACAAGCCTAGTTTCAGTTGATGGTAGTTTCGGAAGCAAAGATAGGTCAGAGCTTTTATTTTAAGGAGACCGTGTCTACTGGTGGTGATATCAAAGATTCGAATATATGTGAATGCCATAGCGCTATCACATTTTCAAACTTTAAAATATTTTGCCCCAAGCACTTAGCTTTGTATCGAATACTACATTTGAAATTTGGTGTTTCATTGACGTGTTGTAGAATCATCAACAAATTTTAAAATAGTTCTTTTGTGTCGTCATTGAAACTGCCAAACATTTTTTTCAAGGCTCTAGCTTGGCCGGACCACCTGGTTTGGCAAAACCTCGCTAATTTTCGAAGCTATATGCATGGCTGGTATTATTATCTTCCATCTGCTTTTCCCACACATTCATGTTCATGTAAGATTCTTTGAAGAGATTTGCCATTTGATTAAGCTAGTAGCGCGAACAGGCAGCTTGGACGGAAACGGTGAGTGCATCACCAATGACCAAATTGACGACGTGCGCATAACACCAGGTATAGACATGGTTTGGACGGACTTGTTTAAAGACCTAATGGTAAGTATAGGTTATTTTGAGGCAACGAGGGGATATGTGATTTATTCACCGAGGCGCCCAGCGCCGAGGTGAATAAACACATATCCCCGAGGTGCCTCAAAATAACGTACTTATTTTTCACATTGCGAGGTCGCGTTAATAAGTCAGAATAGAAATAATTCTTAATGCCATATTGCCTTCGTTATGTCGTTTTTCTCATTTTTTGTGCTGCAAAGACATTTCAGGTGAATATTAGAGGGGATTATTAATTGCAGGTGAATATTAGAGGGGATTATTAAACGGAAATTGATTAGAGGAGAATATTGAATATATTCCCCGACAAGAACAAAGGAAACCGAGCAGGGTGAAAAATAAGCCATTGTAGACACCACTCTTATTCGCTGCTCCGTCGAATGAATCTCCAATGCACATATCTAGTTAAACTCCTACTTCTTCTAAAGACTTCTCAAATAAATTGTGGAGACTTTGGGTTTTTTGAGTAGGACACATTTACAAAACGCAATAGCTTTTCTCTCGTTTCGTCCTCTTTCTTCTCGTTTCGTCCTCTTCTAAATTTATCGTGGTTGGAAACATCTGTAGTAGAATCCATCTGTACACAAAATAAGCAAGCGTCATTTACATCTTTGGCAATTCTCTCCTTTTACATCTCTGCGATCAATTTGAAAATCTTTACAACACTTGTTTTGCTGAGAAAAGTTACAAAATTGGCCCCACCGTTCCTTTTAGGATCGCGTTTCTGTGCCAACTTGATTACGTTATTTAAATGAGCTTGCAGGATTGGATAGAACTCAGCAATAAGTTTCACAGCCCCGAGAAAATCGCCATGGTTTACAATAGCTTTTGCAGCTGTACTGTCATCAAAAGCAGTTGCTATAGATTCTGAATGTTTACTTCAAAAGGGCAGAGTCTGAAGTGCTATTAAGAATATAACACTGATTTCTGCCAGGTGACTTCTTGGATAATGGTTTGTTGTCATTCGAAATCTAGTAAATTCCGGGCCCCCAAAGTTCCCCGGGCCTCCGTCCGCGCCCGAATGCCCGACCGCCCAGTCCGCCACTGCTAACTTCAACAAAACGGCTAGCCGCCATTTTGAAAATTTCGATTTTGTTATATTCACCTGCAGGTGAATATAACAGATTAATACGTCAAATTTGACTAATCACCTTATAGGATTTGTCATGTTCACTTGTGCAAAAATACTCAAAAATATAATACAAAAAATATAAAAATATACAGGAAACTAAGACAATTACTACAAAAAATAATCAAAACAAAACACATGTGGAAATAAGATAAGAAATAAAAGTAAGAAATAGATAAATGCTGTCAATGTCTGCTATAGACAGGCAAGGACAGTGGAATTAAACATAGGAAAAGCGTTTATTAATACCAGAGGGGTGAACAGTGCCAAGTTTGGATATGAGGCGCATTTCATGTCGTTTTCGGCTATCGTACGTTGCTTCCAGAAATGGGACAGAGGGCTCGAATTACCATATCTGAAACACTGTGATTGCCATTATTAAAATGTCTGGCAACAGGTTGGTTAGCATCAATCATCATTGCCAATAACTGCAATGTACGCCGATGCTCACCAAACCTTAATTGTCCTTAAACATCTTCCTGTTTCCCCAATGTAAAGCATGCCATATCTGCTGCAAGAGATGCAGTAGATGAGATGGGAGGAGGCGCATATGAAATGATGCTTGATGTGATATTCAGATTTAGGTACCGAAACAATAGTGGTGGAATCTAGTAAATCACAGGTTTTACATTTCGACGACAAGCAAGGGAATTAAAGTGCCTTTCTGTGACGCCGAAGCCTGTGCTATGTAGCTATGGACTAGGGTTTCACGGATATTTTTGCTGTGTTGAAAAGAGACTAAGGGGTTATCGGAGAAAATGGAAGAATTGTTTCAGGGTCATTTTTCAAAATATGGAAATTCTTGTTGGTGACATCTCTGACTTTGATATTGAAAGGATGATAATTTAATACTAGAGGGCGGATTTTGATGTTGCCTGTAACATTAGACACAGGGTCTGTGAGGGTGTCAGTACGGGGAATATGGGAGGCCTTCGAAAAGGCTGTGTCTAATAGAGAGGTAGGATAGCCACGTTGCACAAAAAGTGTCTCATCTCCAGACTTTTGACCTGAAAGTCTTCGTCTTCGCTGCAGATGCGGCGATGACGACGGAACTGAGAGAAGGTAATCGACCTTTTGGTGTGGTTGGGGTGGGAAGAGGAACATAGAAGATAGCTATGGGAATCAGTGGGCTTGTAGAACACAGAAGTAACTAGTTAGGCAGCGTTTACACTGTACCGTTTTCGTAGCGTTCTCGTATTGTTCGAGAGAACTAGACTATTGTCTTGCGTTCCCTTGAGGATTAAGAACAATACGAGAACGCTACGAAAACGGTATAGTGTAAACGCTGCCTTAGTTACCATTGATTGATACAAGTATATCTATAAGAATGATACACTGGTCTCACTGATCTCCCATGTGAACTGGAGTGCTGGATGGAAATTATTAACAAAGTTAATAAAGCGTTCCAATTTGACACGAGAACATGATGCTGTGCCAAGACAGTCATGTATGTACCTACCAAGGTAATCAGGGATGGGATCAGTGCACTGTTCAAAGATTTGCTTTTCCACAAAACCAACAAACAAATTAGCATAGTTGGGTCCCATTTTGGTTCCCATGGCTACACTATTTATCTGTTGGTTATGCTCACCATCAAAGGAAAAATTGTTGAGGGTATGTAAGCACCAACTCAGCCAATCGGATCAAAGCAGAAGTGGCCGGTTCCTGGTTAGGGCGTTTATTGAGTTTGTCTAGAAAGAATTTGAGAGGCCTTAAACCATCATATGATGCGGATCGAATTACAATATATAAGGATTTGACGTCCATGCTGAAAATGAATTTTTGAGTGCCATGAAAATGAATTTGTGAGTGCCATGAAAATGAATGTTCTGGAGAATTTGGAGAGGATGATTGGTATCCTTGATATAGGATGGTAAGTCCTTAACCAAGGGTGTCATGACATGATGGAGAAAACTGGAGATGAGTTCGGTGGGAAAACCACAAGCAGAGACAATAGGTCTACCTGATTGTTAGGTTTGTGAATTTTGGGCAAGAAGTACATGACAGGTGTGCGAGGTGTGATGTGTATGAGGTTTTGGCAGTCTCAGCCAGGGAGATCACCAGTGGTGATAAAGTTATGAATGGTCTGAGTGATGGTGGTTTGATGAATGGAAGTCAAATCCTTGTCAACCTGATGACTGCATGGGGGGTGGGCGGTGTTCCACTCCCCCCTTTAACGCTGCCCCTGCGTGGGTTCAGCTGACATAGTGCCATGCAGGCATTCAAATTATAAGTAACAATAGGTTAATTTCTAAAGTTCTCCTATTTTTGTAGGTTAAACCAATTCAAAGGACAATTACAGTATAAGAAGCTTGAACAGATAATTACCGGCTCCCGGGCTTCTGTGACTACAACCTATGCAAAATCACACATGAATTATTTCGAAACGCCAGTGTTCTATTCCTCAATTGGTATCCGTGATATACAGCTTATATATAGCCTGCAGTCAAAATTATCTTTTTTGAAATGGAAATTGCAGAGCAATCGCTCCGAGCAATTTTAGTGAGGAATGAGCGTTCAGCAGGGTTTATGATGTTATAACAGAAGGAACATTTGCTTTCGAAATACGGAGCTAATTTCGAGATTCTTGCCTGGACAATAATGACTGATTATATTACTTACTTTTTTCCGCTTTTGACATCATTTGAAAGTGAAAAGGTCAAAATAGGTCTATATACAGGTAAGGCCTGTTTTATACGTCAAATTTCGGTCGCGTCGTTTCGGTCAGCTTAATGAGGTTTATCATCTCATTATCTATTGTTTTATTTACATTCGACGCGACCAAAATTCGACGTATAAAACAGACCGGCTAAAAAATGTGAGCGCTTCAGAAATCACCCTTTTGTTGTAATTTAATAAACACCCAAACGTCATTACCTCTGTGCTCTGGGAGTTTAGATTAATGCATTGTAATCGTACGAGCATATTAAAACTGCGTAAATTGTACATGAAAGTTCTAATTGAAAGTTAAAACGACATAGAAATTAGTTGCGTCAATTTGATTAAGAATGGTTCAACTGACTCAGATCAAATTAGAGTTTTTACTGTTTTACGCGCTGCGTTAAATTAATCAGCACATAACCATATATTCATATATTGAACGTTAACGATACCAAATGTTGAACTTTTAAATAACTGCATATTCGATTCAATTGTGTTTAGCCACCAATGGGTCCAGCATTGGACTCACGCATTCGCAAATTTAACAACAAGGTGAATTTCTAAGGGTCACTTTTTCTTAGCGAAGTTGTTTGAAAATGTACTCACTTTTGCAGTGAACAATTTGAGCACGATTTCTAAACAGGCGGAGGGAGATTTTTACTTTATTATTAGCATATTCTTGTTATCTTTTTATCATTTGTTTCATTATTTTCATTACTCATACACAAATTCTTGGGCATGAGCTAGTTTCTTTTTCAGCCTATTTGTCTCTGCAGGATTTTTGCAGATATGCAGTCATTTGTCTTTGTATGATTTCAATAGAAAAAGCTTTGCAAATAAATTATACCTACCATCCTGGATAAAACATCTGCGACATCTAATTATTTGACCAAGATCTGTAATATTATCGCAAATTTAGAAAAACCTCACCCTTATACCCACCGTTCAATGTTGATTGCATTCTCAGAATGCGCCGGTAAAAGCAATCGACAATGGAGAAATCTACTAGTAAAGGAAAACACAGAGGAATGTTTGAATGGAGTGTCACTGACTCGCTATAGCTGATGGTTTTGACCAAGGTTGTAGCTTGTTAATTAATTATTTTATTTTATAGAAAGCACCACGATAATTAATTTCAAACAATTTACATCATTCGGCGCTCGCCTCGGTTTCTTTCTAAACCACTGGTGACCCCTATATATATATATATATATATATATATATATATATATATATATATATATATATATATATATATATATATATATATATATATATATATATATATATATATATATATATATATATATATATATATATATATATATATATAGATATATATATATATATATATATAGATCTGCTAATTCTGAGGAACCTAGCCCAGATCTTCATCAGTGCAAATAAAGTTGAAGATCCGGGTTCTCCGATCGAATTTAAAGCTTTTCGAAATTAATAGACGAGGTGTTTTGAACAAAGCAAAACAAATTATGTTTTCTGCTCCCTTTCTTAGGTCATTCGAAGAGTGATGATTTTGGAAGTTGTTAGTTTGATTGTGATAATATCATTAATATGGTTCCTGAAGACCAGCTATGAAAGACGAGGCATGCCTCCAGGCCCATTTCCGCTTCCTCTCATTGGCAATCTTCATTTGATATTGCATGATGATATGCCTTTTTCAGCCGAGAAATTTCGTGAGAAATATGGCGACATATTTACGATTGCTCTGCCAACAGAAAACATCGTGATGATAAATGATACTGCGACTGCACGCGAGGCTCTGCTCACACAAAAAGATATTTTTCATGGACGTATACCCGATGTTGTTTATCCCCTTAACGAGATATTAGAAGGAAAAGATGTCATGGCCATTGATTTGAATCCTGAGTACCGACTTCGCCGTAAAGCAATGAACATGGCGCTGCATATATTTGGAGAGGGGAAGAAGGCTGCGAATGAAAATATAAATGACCAACTTGACGAGTTCTTCATGGCAATAGAAAAGCTGGATGGCCAGCCATTTTATCCTCCAGAGATTCTCGAACGTTCTATTGCCTCCCATCTCTGGCGTTGGGTAACGTGTAAAACAGATAACATTAGTGATGGTACTGCGGATAAATTGCTTGATTTTAACCGAACGTTTTTTGGACTCGTCTATTCCGGTCCTTTGTATCGACTCGTTCCTATTCTGAAGTATTTTCCCACAAAACACGTATTGACAGTGGAGTATGTAAAAAGGAGACTACACGAACTTTTTGTAACCGAAACAATCGAGCACGAGAAGACCTATCAAGAAGGAAAAGACCGGGATATCATGGATTCTCTATTAGCATTTTGCATCAAACTGGGACTGAAAACCGATTGCGTCAGTTTCCTATCAGCAGATATCATCCTGGCTGGAGCAGATACGACAGGGACGTTTTTCGTTTGGTTTTTGTTATACATGATACTTAACCAAGATTTGCAAAGAAAGCTTCAAGCAGAAGTCGATACAGTCCTGCAAGACGATGAGATACTCCAATGGAACGATTTTAATAAGCTTCCATATTTACAAGCGACAGCATGTGAAATTATGCGACATTCATATTTCGTTCCGCTGTCCCTTCCTCACAACCCGATGCAAGAAACTCATCTACAAGGCTTTCGTATTCCAAAAGGAACAACCGTTTTCTTCAATTACCATTGTATTCACAGAGATGAGAGAGTGTGGCAGAATCCTTCGGAGTTTAATCCTGACAGATTCCTTGATGAGAGTGGAAAATTTGTTGGTTGGCGTGTGAAGCCTGGATTCATGCCGTTTGGAATTGGTACTAGGTCATGTCCAGGTGAAGTTTTATTGCGGGCACAGATTCTGATCTTTACATCCGGGATGCTGAAGAGATACACATTTGAGGTTAATAAAGACGAACCGCTGCCCACCTTGGAGCGTGGTGCAGCTGCAGGAAAATTCCAACCGAAGCCGTACAAAGTGATTGCTCGGAAACGTAAATAAATTAAACTTTGCATTTCCATTGACCGTATATATATGTCTGCATTTGAATTATTGAACAAGATTTGATTAATAGAATACAACGGATTTGCATTGATTGAACAAAATTTGACAGTAAATAGTTTATTACATTACTCATTTTCGTTTTTGCCCAGAAATTAAAAATAATTGCACGTATTTCAATGTGCATATAGTTTACGGACAACTGGACGGAATAATACGATTTAAATTAACGGACTTTTTTTTGTTTGTTCTTGTTACCAATTATATGATAATTAAATTTAACCTATTCGCATGCAATTCATTTAGTTCATTGTGTGCACATCGTGTGAGTTTCTGGAGGTGAGTGCCTCTGTTGACATTATTGGTTCTAGTATTGCCTCATATTTGAGTTTGGATTTCGTCCGATATTCTGCCAATTTGACTAAACCATTTGAAGGGAATTTGAATGAAATTTCGATATATTTTGAAGGAAATTTCGGCCAAAATAAGGATGTTTTGAAAAAAAAAATTAAAAATTTTTAAAAATTCCTAGAAATTTAAAGAAATTAAAAAAAATTCCTTTCGAAAATTTTAACTTTCGAAAGTGGAAGCACTGGAATCAATGGAATCACAGAATAGATAATTATTTAGCCTGCGAACAGGCTCTCAAGCTGAATTGAGAGCCTGCATCGATGACTAATAAATTTGAATATCTGCGTCTCAAATCGTGACGCGAAATTCTCCGTTGGTCAGATGCTATAATTTACATGTTTCCGCTGAGCTCTATATATGTCAACTGCAGAAACTATGCATAACAAACACATTAACATAGAATTAACTGATCAAATTGGTCTTGGCCATCTTATCTCAAAGCACGAAATGTTCTGTTTTGAGAAAACAGTATTTAAAACATTTGAACTTTTGCTTGAATATCTTGTATTTCGAAAAACAGTATAAACTGTACGGTCTAAATTTAGTTTGCATGGTCTAAATTTAGTCTGCACGAAAGTTGTAAACAACACCATATAAGGATAGACATTCCATATTTGGAAAAACGAACACTAACGAACGTTACGGCAGATATTCAAATTCATTAGTCATCGATGCAGGCTCTCAATTCAGCTTAAGAGCCTGTTCGCAGGCTAATAATTATTTTGTGATGGAATCAATCATGGAATGATGGAATCTCAGTGCATGGAATCAATGTATTAAATTCAATATGGCGGCCAACGATGTAGAAATTCAGAGGCAAAAACGCCCGTTTAAAATATGTAATTCTTCTCGCGAAAGTAAGAAAGGAATAGCTTGTTCGTCATTGGAAGAACTCAAGAGTATCTCGTGTGAGCGATTTATGTTAAATCCCGATTGCCGTGTGTTTCTGGAGAGTGATGGTACGGAGGTTGACAATGAGGAGTATTTTCAATTTTTGCCGTCACAAACTTTGTTTATGGTAACAGAAAGTAATGAACATTGGGTCAAATCTGCTGACGATATACCTAGTAAGTTTCAAGTTTCAAGCACATGCATTTCTCTGTTACTTTACGAGCTGTGCGCCTGTGTGTTGCCAAGGAGTAGGACCGAAGGGCGGGAGAAATTCCAGGGTGCATTCCATGTATAGGCCGTGGGATGAGCATCCAAAAGATGCAATTCCGTTGCACCCCTCGTGGAACTACGTAATTTTCACATGAATAAATAGATAAAAACTTACTTTATCAGAATCCGTTGCTCCCCAAGTGAAACAGGTGCACAAT